CTGCAATGTCTTGTATAGCTCTGCTGGTAATCCATCCGGTCCTGGTGTTTAACCATTTTTTTGCCTTTTAATTGCTTCTGTTAACTCCATCATTATTATTTTCCCTTCTAATAACTTTTTAAATTTCTCCGGTATTTTAGGTATCTCTGTTTCTTCCAAGAATTGTTTTATCCTATCATCTGGAACTGTTTGTTGCTTATATAAGTTCTCATAATATTCCCAAGCTATTTTTTTCTTTTCTTCATTCCGATGTTGTAAAATCCCCTCAGCATCTTCCAGTTGTTTAATCCATCTCTTCTCTTTCTCCTTTTTAATTTTATATGTCAACCATCTCCCTGATTTATTTGCATGTTCAAAACAGGTTTGCTTGGCTGCCTTTATTTTCATTGCCACTTCTTCATTTTCTATTAAGTTCATTTTATGTTTGTTCAGCTCCATTAAATTTTGAATCTTTTTGTTTTGTATATCTTTCTGTAATTCTTTCTCAAGTGTCTTGTATTCTTCCTCCAGTTTTTTCTTATTTTTTCTTTTCTGTTTATTTTTTCCCCCAAAATAAGTCATAGCAAGTCCTCTCATGTACACTTTCACCGTGTCCCAAACATTTTGAAGTGAAGTATCTTCTTTTTTGTTTTCCTTAAAAAAGAAAGGTATTTCTTTTTCCATATATTGCTGGAAGTCTTTTTCATTCAATACAGTTTGGTTTAATGTCCATCTTGTTCTCTTTTTTTGTCCTTTCCATATGATTGTAACTGGGTTGTGATCCGTCCATGTGCTTATTTCTATGGCTATATTTTGTATATTTGTAAATAAATCTGTTGACACCCATATCATATCGATTCTTGACCAGGACAGGTGTCTGTTAGAATAGAACATATATTGCTTCTTTTCCGGATATTTTTCTCTCCAAACATCTAATATATTTAGTTCGTCCACCATATTATAAAAAGATTTTGGAAGTGTTCTTCTTAGGGTCTTGTGTTTTTTTTTTTTTGTATTATAATCCAGCTCGGCCTTTACAATAGCATTAAAGTCTCCAATAATACATATGCTTTCATATTCCAGTTCTATTATCTTCTTGTGTAATTTTAAATAGAAATTTTCTTGGTTTTCATTTGGAGCGTAGATCGCTACCAATACTGATTTTTTACAATTCATAATTACTTCCACCATTAAGATTCGTCCTTCTTCATCTGAATATATCAATTTAGTTTGTATTGCTTTCTGAATATATAATGCCACACCTCTTTTACTCTGATCCACAAGTGAAGTTTATAATTCTCCCAATTTTGGATATTCTAATAGATTTTTATGTTGTTTCCTAATATGAATTTCTTGCAAGCAAATTATGTCCATTTTTACTTTCCCCAGTTTATTTAGTGTTCTTTTCCTTTTTATGGTCGAGTTTAATCCATTTATATTTATCAAAATTGCTTTTATCTCTTCTTCCATGATTATTTGTTTAAAGTTTTGGCTGATCTCGCCATTCTCATCTTTCTTTGCTCTTTTGCCCCTTTTGTTCTTGCTCCTTCTCCCAACACCCTTTCCTCCTTTTCTTTGCTATACTCACCCCGTTGCTTCTCTGTCTCATCTCCTTGGTGTCTAATTTCTCTTTCCCCTCTCAGCCTTTCTTCTTCTTGCTGTCCAAAGTAGTGATCATAAAAAAGTTCTGCTTTCTCTAATATGTCTAGTCTATGTCTCTGTTCTTGCCAGTTTACCATTATTCCTTCTGGTATTAACCATCTAAAATTTATCCCTTTTTTAATTATTTCATCAAAAATTGATACTCCTTTCTCAAGTCTCTCACTCTTCTTGGAATCTGCTTTAATATCACTATCTCTCTTCCTTTATATTTTATTGTGGCATTTCTCAGCTTCTGTAGTATATCTGCCCTTAACGCTTTTAAAATAAATCTTATATGGACCTCTCTAGGGAGATTATTTCTCGTTACGTATCTAGTATGTATTCTAAATATCTGATCTATATCATTAATTATCTTTTCCTTGCTTTCCTCCAATGCTTCTGCTAATATTTCGGACATCACATCTGCTAAGTTCTCTCCCTTTTCTTCTTCAACATTTTGGAATCTTAAATAATACTCAGCTCTATCCATCTCTAGAGAGATAATCATTTTTTCCTGATTCCTATCTGTTAATGTAAGTCGATTATCCATCTCCTCTACTCTCTTATCTGCTGATTAAATTTTCCCTTCTGCTTGTTGCAGTCTTCGTTCATTTTTCCCCATCAGTTCTTTAACTTCTTTTAGTTCCTCTTCTAGTTTGCCTATCCCTTCCTTGAAGTCTGTGTGTAGTGCCTGTATCATATTTTTCAATTCCATGTTAAATTTATCTTGCTGTATTGTAGAGTCCAGTGTTTTCTGTGCCACAGGACTCTGTAATGTTGAGGCGGCTGTTGTTAAATGTGTTGTAATCTTCTTCATCTTCTCCAATGATTTATAATCCAAATATCAATGAAATATTATAATCCAAATATGTTCCAAGAAGAAGAGAAAAGAAATGAAAATGAGAAAGCTATCCCACATCAAAAATCCAAAGGCAGGAAAAAAGGGGAAAGAAGGGAGGATAAAAAAAAAACCAAACTAATCCACACAGGTTACACTTCTTTGTTTCAGGCTCTTCGTGCCTTGATCCCCAAAAAAAGAGGAGATCAAAAATAAAGCCTCCGTGAAACAATCCACCATTCACCAAAACGAGAAACAGTCTCTGTAATAAATGCAATGAATGTCTAACTTCTTATCAGTAAGTCCAGCAGGTGTTATTCAAGGTCACTTAGTTTTCTCCTTTAGTTATTCAGTAAAACTACCAAGTCTACTAACACCCAGCCAAATACAAGAAGAAAAAATGCAAAGAAAAAGAGGCAACTATTTAAAAAAGAACAATCTACACCTCCAGCAGTCGTTTACTCTCAAATCAGTTCCATCAATCCAGTTATTTTCAGCAGGTTTTTCAAATTCCACACTGTTTTTACATTGATTTATTGCCTTCTTTTGCCTTCCGCTTTTTTCCACCGCTACAATTCCGGAAGAGGAGCGGCTTGAAAGCCCGCTCCCCCCCTTTCTCCACAGCTTCAAATTCTTATTTTCTCCCACAATTTCCAGCATTTAAGAGAGAAAGGTTTTTTTCCCTTTTACAGTCTCTTAATCATCTCACCCAGGTGATCCTCCAGTTTTGCTTTCTGATTGTTTCAAGTGGCCGCCCGACTTGTGACGGCTCGCAATGGCCGTCTGACAGCTGCTGGTCTGGGAAGCTCCCGTCGGCTCTCCAGGAGGTTGCGATCCCTCCTGTGCCGCCAAACTATGCTTCCCTTCTTCACCGTCCCTACAGGATGGCTCCGGTCTATCTGGAACCCAGGCAGACCCCCCCAAACAGCCCCCAAAGGATACATCATACAGCCCCCAAAGGATACATCTCTCCCCTGCAAGTCCCTGCAATTTTCTTGGGAAAAATTTTCAGAAGTGGTTTTGCCATTGCTTCCTTCCCAGAGCTGACTGGCCCAGCTGACTTAGAATTAGAATTCATTTCTGGCTGGATGCCTTAACCAGTATACCAAATAGGCTCTTAAAACTTACATACTAGTGCACAAAACCTATCAAGTGTGCTGTCATAAATGGTTGTTTATTTGTAAAAAGCATTTGGATATAGACAAAGTCTGAACTAGCAAGATATCTGCCGAACATGGAGGATAAATTTGGTTTGAACATCTCTATAAAAGGAGCAAAGAAGAAAAATGTTTTCTATGGTTTTTGTCTCTCCAGAATCATAAGGCAGCTCTGACAGGAAGGCTGGGACTTTCCCTAGGTTGCTTGACACTCAGTCTCCTTTATGGCATTTGTTTCAGTTGATTATAGTCTATCTTGAAAACAGAGAAAAATCCAGATTTGGGGGTTAGATCTAACAGCTTTAATTCAGGTAGATCGATAGTCATCCTGGAGAAATAATGACACTAGGTTTCAATGAGAAAAGTTAAGCTTTAGCAAAAGACTTTGCCTATCTGGATTGTACCCAGTCCAAGACAGTAAACAAGAAATCCCATAAAGGAGATGGGCTAGTGTCTTAGCCAGAAAAAGCTGAAGTGTGCCTGACATATAATATCCTCTTGGAACAAAGAAATATAACTGATTAGTTTATCCTCATATCCAAACTTGCTTCTACAATTTGCTTTCAAAGAGCATCATTGTATTAATCCCAAAGTGTTGAACTAGCTACCTATAATTTTCAGAACTTGAGTTATGAAAATAAATTGTGGATTTAAAATGAACTTTATGGTTGACCAAGTTAAAGCAGCAATTTGTGTAAAGTAATGAGCAGTGCCAGGTGATGCCTGCCTCTGAGCATTCCTTTTCTGATGTGTTCAAGGCAGTAGTACAGCTGTAATGTGAATTGTTTCAAACTGTTTCACTGCCTTAAATTATATATAAAAATCTGTTAACCTGTAAGATCTGTAATAGCTAATTAGTTTGTCCAGATAGCAGAGTGGAAAGAGAACAAAAAAGGCAATGGGTCAGTTGTAGTAGTTTAATTAGAATATCTCCAGGCTAGTCTTCTCTGTCTGATTGCCTGGGGAATTCAATTTCAGCTCCCATAATCCCCCATGATATTGCTGGTTGATGGGATCATGGGAGTTGAAGTCCAACCCACTTGAAAGACACCTTCCCCCCTCCCAGTTTGAGGAAAGTTGCTCTCTGCTACTTCCTTTCTTCTACCAATTTCCTTTCAAGATCTCCTGGATTTGTCCCCATCCTCTTGACCCCAGTTCAGCGGCTCTGCGCTTTTAATTCACCCGCCCAGCAGTTCCTTCGGAATGATCTCTAGCTGCCTTCCCGGGGTCTGCATCGCAAATTCCTGAGCCAGGAGAGGGCAGCAGCCTCGCGGTCCTTACTGCATCTGCGTGGACTTCTCAAGCATGCTCATTCACCAGGAAGGAGGAAAGCCTTGATGAGAAGCCAAGCCTGGCACCGCTGACGGCCAGCGGGAGCTGGGGCGATGCTCTCCCAGCTGCACGAAGGCACCATGTGGAGGACGGCAGCCTCCCTTGTCTTCCTCTGGCTTCATCTCCAGGCGGCAGGTAAGAAAAAAAAAAATCAGCCGGGCTGACGACAGCAGAGAGCAACGGGTGGGGGATAGCTCTCCTCAAGCCCTGGCGAGAATGGAAGGAAAGAGGATCGCCCTGCTCGCTTGCCAGAGAAGCCAACTTCACACGACCCTGTTCAAGCACTTGTTGTTACTGATGGCCAATGTGGGGTGGGGTCTCTGCAGGCAGGATGGTCGTCATGGTGGTAGATGAACATGTTGCGGACAGTTGGGGAGGGCGGTACGCAAATAGGTGCTGATTCCGCTCGAAACGCGCGAGTCCCCTTTTATCTGCTCCTTTGCCGCCTTCAAGGGTGGCTCAGAAGAGGCAAATCTGACTCCTCCGGCGTTGTTGGTGGGCTGCGGGGTCACTGCTGCTCTACCGTCTCGATCCCATCGCGCTTCCTTAATCAAATCAATGCTCCTTTTCGGCAAGGGTGGATTTCTGCCTGGCGAAAGCTCGAATTCCCGCTTTGTTCGGAGTGCGCGGCGGAGTCTCGGTAGTCCCTCCGGCTGTTTCTAGGTTTCAGCACCAGGGTCAGAAGCAGCCGGAACCCGTTGAAATGCCGAGCAGCTGGCCCGGGCGGCGCGTGGGCGGCGGGGAGAGAGGCTGGCGAAGAGTTCCCGAAAGAGCGCGGTTCGCATGAAATCAGGCCATTCCTCAAAACATCGCTTGCAAGTTCAGGTCACGCAGCTTTCCAAAGAGAGAAGATGCGTTGGAGGGCTGGTCCAAGGAATCGCACGGATCAGACCGGTTCCCTAGCATGATGGTGTTCCTGTGCCTGTGCTGTTTCCTGTGAAAATAGCAGTTTAGGAAGACCACGGAATAACCTGTCAGTGGCCACCTCGTCATCCCACCTGATATATTGCTTCTCTTGCTGTTAGGTTCAGCCAAGCCATAACTTGTTGTACAGGTAGTCTTTGACTTATAATTGGGACCAGAATTTCTATTGCTAAGCAAGGCAGTTGTTAAGTGAATCACCCCCGATTGTATGGCCTTTTTTTTGCCTTGATTCTTTAGTGAATCGTGGCTAAGTGTATCATGTGGTCAGTAAGCAAATCCAGCTTCCCTCATTGACTTGCTTGTTGGACGTCAGCTGCCAAGGTTGCAAATGGCAACTGCACAACCCTTGGATCCTTGCGACCATCATAAACACAGGTCAGTTACTAAGTCAGCCCAAATTTTGATCACATTGCCATGGGATCAATGGTGCAATGGCTGCAAGAATGAGAACTGGTTGTAAATCACTTTTTTCAGGGCTGTTACAGCTTCAAACCGTCCCTAAATGAATGGTTGTAAATCAAGGACTACCCGTACTGTATTGCTTCCCCAAACAGAATCTTAGGCCTCTGCTAATTCTTTTAGCAATTCCAGTGAAAGGGCAACAGACAACTTTGCTAAGGCTGTCTTGAATTCTAGCCATTTGAATGATGAGAATTCTTACTTGATATTGCCTTTTGGAAACCACATTGTGAAGTTCTTCCTCCACTGCAACCTGAATGTTACCATTTTAAATTTATCTTCTTCAGATATTGAATCTGAAAGGCCATCTGTGGGTTTAGCCAGAAGCAGTGAAAGCCAAAGTTGTAAAATTGAAGGCAGAAAAATCTTAAGGGATTACAAGGACATCTGACCCAAGGGTGGAACAATTCCATTTACCAATAATATATAATGAGGTTTTGTTTCATAAGACTCAGATGCTAAAATGGTCTTTGTTCTGTAATGTTATTTAAATTCTTTCCAAATATTTGCTTGTTTGATTTATGTACAGTATAATTGCTCCAGCATTTGAATGATATGTCTATCAGTGCCATTTACCAATGGTTTGCTTATTCTTACTTGCCCGTTTTAAAACTGTGCTTATCTGAGAATAAATTCTACCAAAAATCAGTGAAATATATAGGTTAGTATTTTATAGTAAAAATGTAATTGGATTCTGGAAAATACTGAATAGAAAAAGACAGTATCAGATGGGGAATTCAGAATCATAATAGATAATTGCTGCAAACCCAAAAAATTCCCATATTCAGATGATCTTGCATTTTAAATCTTTAAAACATTATATACACACACACACACACACATATATATATATACATACAGAGAGAGAGAGAGAGAGAGAGAGAGAGAGAGAGAGAGAGAGAGAGATTGTGTATAAATACACTAAATATGGTTGTGTCATTTTACTGCATGCACTAATAATCCAGTAAAAGCAAAATACTTGGTTACTATGGGGAAAATTAATTTTTCATGAGGAGATCTGGCTTGCTTGCCCCCAAGGGCCCAGTGACCTATTAACCCAAATTCAGTGCCATTCCATAATTCTGTAAGCTCCTTTCAGCCCATCTCCCCTTTACATTGCATTCATTCAGGTTATTCTTTAATCCTCTCCCTTCAAAACAACTTACCTCTAATTGTTTTTCTGTCAAAAAGATTTATATTCATCTGCAACTGTGGTTTTGTATTGCTGATAAAGGTAAATGCAGCTCTTCCTCAAGTCAAGCTCAATTCCTAGACATTTCATGTACATTTCCATACAGTTTTTGGCAACAGTATGGAAGGGAGTTGCCATGTTGTTATTTAAGTCAGGCTTTTGGATGACAATCTACATGTATTTTTTGTCATGTTTTGTTTTTGTGGAAGAAAGTTTGTAAAATGACAATAAAGGTTATCTTATCTTATCTTATCTTCTGGAAGCTGAAGGTGACGGTTAATGCATGAATAATTTCTTCCTATGATTTAAACACAGTGTTTTCTGCAATTAATAAAGTATGTAAGTATCAAAAAAAGATCCTAGCCTTGCAATTTCCATAACTAATTTATTTTCCAAATGAGCAGATTTCTCTCTCTTTCTCTCTGAGTAATATTCAGTCATGAGAGTCACCGTATGCTACATAGCCTAGATGAATATTTTTCTTCTCAGTGAGCATTAGAGTTCTAGCTTGTACAAAATATGCACACACTTTTTTATAGGTCATATAATGTTGCTATTGAGAAAACACTATCAGTATGATTCCTGGATCATGTAGCAGAGGGGAACCAGTCTGTTGGCAAACAGAACTGGGAAATTCATCTCATTATATCCTATGGTTATGAATTATAAATTATGGTTTAATGTTATGTATCTATATCTATATCTATCTATATCTATATCTATATCTATATCTATATCTATATCTATATCTATATCTATATCTATATCTATATCTATATCTATATCTATCTCTATCTATCTATCTATCTATCTATCTATCTATCTATCTATCTATCTATCTATCTATCTATCTATCTATAAGAATAAAACTAAAAACTCGACTCTTGGGAAAAATCATAATATCAAAATAAATATAAACCACCAAGAGAATACATATAAAATGTTTAATCTACCTAGCTTTCGTCAACAAAACGTTTGACATCGTCAGGGCTAAAAGACAACAGCCAGTTGAAGTGATGATATATAAGACTTCAACCGGCTGTTGCCTTTTAGCCCTGACGATGTCAAACGTTTTGTTGACGAAAGCTAGGTAGATTAAACATTTTATATGTATTCTCTTGGTGGTCTATATTTATTTTGATATTATATATATATATCTTTAAAATGTACTGTACATAATGTTGCTGCAGATCTTCTTGAAATATATCCTCTATTAAACTTTGGTTGAAACAACTCAATTTAAAAATGTCTTTCCTGCAGAATTCATAGTAGAAAAGACATTTCATTGTGTGATAATTCTATTTCCACTTACGTGAAATCTACAATATTTATTATGTCAGTAGGATGCTAGGTAAAATACGTTTGTAGAAGGCGATTAAATAAACTATGCAATGTCACAGCCACATCCTTGATTTGTCTTAAAGATGAGTTAATAGGCATTCAGAAGCTGTGGTAATGTCAAAAAGATTTTACACACATAACATTGTTGCATGAATGACACCAGTTCACACATGTGAATAATTCACATTATTTGAATAATGACATGTAATGTATGTAACATCACTAGTTACCTTTTAACCCCCTCTGGATGCCTATGGATAAGATTAAAGGATCATATTGTTTGGTCTAGTACAATAACAGTAATAGGAAGCTCTCCAGAACAAAGTATGTCTTGAATAATGCTTTAGATTAATTTTTAAACCAAGAATTCTCAAGCTTTGCCATACTATCATTCACTAAAATGATAAATGAATTTGTGTGAAACCCCTGTGAATAAAACTAATGATTTTGTTAGAGTTAGAATTGGACATGAAGTGAATATGCTTCTTAATCGTAATAATTAAACTTTAATCTATTTATTAAATAGAATTCCCTGTGACCCCTGGCATATAGAAACAACAGAGCATGTGTTCCTCCAGTACCTATGCCTCGTAGACATTTGTACTAGTCACCCTCTCACAATACTGTATACATTACCCTGGCACACAGGACAATTTAATGTCCCCCTTCTCTCTGCAGATACAAATCCTGCTACAACATATAATGTTGCCGTGTTCTGTGCAGCAGCAATTAAAATCCTCCAGATGATAACCTCTGTTTCAAACAGTCTTAATGTGAATTTAAGAATGATTTGTATTGTGGTAGATTTAGTTAGCCACATACTAATTTTTATGTTTCCCTGTATTTAATTAATGTTTTAATTACTGTTACTTTTAAAATTACTATTATACTCTTCTTATGCTGGTCTATGACCATAATGCAGATTTGATTGCTATTAAATAGAAATGATAGTACTGTATAAAAACATTAAAAATGCTGAACTTTATCATCCTATGCATTTCTACAAAGTGGGTATACAACATAATACCACTCAAGGAAAGATATCAGGGGTATGTGAATATATTTGAGAGAAGGTAAACCCAATTATGGGTAGCTTTGTGAAAGCATCTAATAATAGTTGCCATTTGGTATATTCTGCAGAAACTAGGGTTTGTCTATTTCAATTGTATATTAAATTCCTATCCATGAAATACCTTAGGCTTTAATCAAACATATTCCA